TTGGTAATGGAGTAGGACTAGACTAGACTAGGGGGCCTCAATCCATCGCGGGGCTCTGGGCACGTGCCTAATATGCTCAGTGGGGAAAAGGGACCTGTGCCCATAACTTCACAGAATCTCACACAACACCACATAAGCTCATCCATCAAACTGTGAATGGGTGCTGCTTGTTGGGGACTAGTCTGTTCTGGTTACGAACACTGATTAGAATTTTTGTTTTGTGCAATAGCATATACTGCTGGACACTGTATTCTCGCAAATTTGAATTTAAAAATCACTCCGTAATATTGTAACCCTATTTGAAAGAATACGAGCTGAGTTTCTTGTGAGTTCTCATCTCAAAAGCATTCCGAACTGACGGTAGTTTTGACATAAGAGTCTGTAATAGACCTACATGAATGAAGATATTTTCAATTTGATTTGATTTGTAGGTATCGAGGCGACCGAGGTTCGCTTGTTGTTTTATGAAGTGTTTGTTCCTATTGTCACGTGAAAAGTACCTGGGCGATCGAGCTTCGCTTGGTGTTTTTTTTTGTAAAATATTGCAATCAACACAGAAGCTGTCGCCAAGGGAAGGATGTGTCCTGGTTCTGTGAGTACCGGGGCGACCGAGCTTCGTTTGGTGTTATTGTAGTGTTCTTATGGCAGCGCTGGTGAGGGCCGGGGCGACATCTGATGCTTCATTTGATGTCTTTGTACGATGCGTTTATGGTCACGTGAAAAGTACCTGGCCAATCGAGCTTCGCTTGTGTTGTATATCCCAATTATCATGAAAAGTACACGAGCGAGCAAAGCATCATGCACACATAACTTTGTGTGAATTGTTATGTGTTATTTTTTTTGGATGATGATGGAATGGTGCACCCGCCTGCGCCTCCACGATAGGATGAGCGTGAGGTCAGGTCAGTTAGCTCATCATGACAAATCCAAGAATTTATCACGTTGGTTTCCAGGGGCAACCGCGTCGAGGTCAACCTGACATGGTATATTGCTAGCAATCCCCTTTCACCCCTGTCGTGGGTTATTATTTTCGTGTAACTTGTTTTACATCAACATGAAATATTTTCCAGGTCTCCAGGGACGTTATGCCGTCATCCTCAAGAAGGTGGAGGTGGATATGGTACCGTACACCAAGTGCAACGAGCAATTGAAGGCCACCCGGCTCGGGCCCAAGTTCAAACTTCACACCAGCTTCGTGTGTGCTGGTGGAGAAGAAGGCAAGGATACTTGTCAGGTGATTACTAACCCACCCCGACCACAGTTTTACACACACACACGACACTATCCTCGCCGGCGAAGACGACGACCTCACCGGCGACACTTCATATCGCACATTCAACCGGGCGACTGCGCGCGCCCGGGCGCTCCACACCGGCGCCCCTCCGATCGATCCCCCATCGAATTACCAACTAGAAAATAGACTCGGAAAAATATTGGGACACTTGATACGGCACGATGCTTTTATAAAATTATTATTAAGGGAAAAATAAGAAAGAGAGGCCCCTCCCTCTCTAAGACCAAAGCACAGTTATATCAAGCAAGTTAAAGACATAATCAATCGCGTCATATCAACAATTTTCGGATTATAAAGTAGCCTATATCCTTTCTCAGGGTCTAGAGCAGGGTAAGCGAACCAATGGCACGCATGCCATTGACAGCACGCGATACAATATTACGTCGTCGATCATAAAACTGTTTGAAGAAACTGGCTCATGCTTTTTTAACAATATTTTCACCTACCTATGCCTGCGAGTCATTATTTTCAGAGATGAATAACATGAACTCGGTTAGAAACCGTTTGACAGATGAATCCAGTTCAGCATGCACTTTGCTAAAAATAACATCGTACAAGCCTGACATAAATAATTTGTCATCTAACCTGCAGCAACAGAAGTCACACTAATTTTACAGTAACTTAATTTATGCGTGTAATGAAAACAATCCAAAATGTACCTCTTTTGTTTACTTTATTTCATAGAGAGTTTTGATAGTATTTATTATTATTATTTTCTAAATAATCAGAAAGTCAAAATTATTTGATGGCACGTCAATGACCCTATTAAACATTTTTTAGAAAAAATGGCATGTTGATGTATAAATGTTCGCCTACCCTGGTCTAGACTATATGTGTACCAAATTTCATTTAAATCGGTTTAGTAGTTTTAGCGTGAACGTGAGACAGACAGAGTTATTTTCGCATTTATAATATTAATAAGGACAATAATGCTGGTGGTCAATCTATTCTCCCAAATTTTAATTTAAACGAGTCTGTATTATTGTAAACATGTACAACATTTATTTGAAAACAATACGAGCTGAGTTTCGTGTCAGTTTTTCTCATCTCGAAATCATTCCGAACTGACGGTATATTTGACATATCATAAGAGTCTTTAATAGACCTAGGTGAATAAAGATATTTTCAATTTGATTTGATTTTAGGTACCGAGGCGACTGAGTTTCGCTTGGTGATTTTTATTGTTTGTTCCTATTTTCACCTGAAAATTAACTGGGCGACCAAGCTTTGCTTGGTTTTTTTTTTTATAAAATATTGCAATAAAAACAGAGGCTGTCGCCAACAGATGGAGCAAGGATGTGTTATGGTTATCTGGGTACCGCAGCGACCGAGCTTCGTTTGGTGTTATTGTAGTATCTCTATAGCAGCGCTGGTGGGGACCGGGGCGACCGAGCTTTGTTTGGTGTTTTTGTAGTGCACCAGGGCGATATATTTTTTTTGTAAAATGCAATCGTCACAGAGGCTGTCGTCAGCGGATGGGCTGTTGGCGTCAGCCTCAGACAGTCAACAGACAAGGTTGTGTACGGATAGATCGGATAGATCGTAGATTAGACTGACTAGTCTGTAATACATTAACATGAATAAAGATATTGAAAAAAAAGTATATGCTGCTGTGGGCAACATCATTGTTGTGTTATGTTAAATAATAAATATTATTAAATTTTTTTTAAAAGATGATAATGGAATGGTGCTCCCACCTGCGCTAACGGTTTACGCTGGCGGGGCACCAGTGGAGGATGATAGGATGAACATGAAGTCAGATCAGTTAGACCGACGTGACAAATTCACCGGGAATGTATCACGATGGTTTCCAGGGGGAACCGCGTGGAGGCCGACCTGACATGGTATTCTAACAATCCTCCCCCATATTATTCTATTCTGTTCTTTACTGTTCCAGGGTGATGGAGGTGCACCCCTAGCCTGTCCTATAGGAGACGATCGGTACAAACTGACCGGACTTGTGGCCTGGGGTATAGGCTGCGGGGAGAAAGACGTTCCCGCGGTATATGTCAACGTTCCCGCCTTCAGGAACTGGGTCGACGGGGAAATGACAAAGTGGGGATACGACACAGCCGGATATACTATTTAATCAAATAAAATACTTTTTTATTTTGTATTACGTTTTATTAAATTTTTGTAACAAATAAATAATTAACACTTTTTATTTAAAATCAAATCAATATTATTTTCAATGATAACAAATAAAATTAATGCATTACAATAATAATCCTAGTCATGCACACAGCGCCATCTAGTCCCAAGCTAAGCTGAGCTTGTGTTATGGGTATTAGACTATTTATACAAAAACTTTATTGTAAATATATAATATATATAGCAAACACCCAAACCTATACAAACAATCATACTCATGAATGCAAATCTTTGTACTGTACGAGGAAACGAACCCGCGATCATCGAAAAGCGTCGACACCGCTAAACTACCGAGGCCGTCTATTAATACATTATGAGAGTTACAGTACGAGTAAATAACAATAAGAACTTCTTTTTAAATCTTAAGATTTCATAAATCACTACTATTGTACCAATGACTTCTGTCTCTCCTCGATCTTTAATTTCTAATTCTACGTTTACATTCAGCCGCTTCCCCTGCTACACGCGCTGCAGCAAATATTGCCGGGCGACAACTGAGCGAGAGGGCTGAAAGTAAAAACGCGCTGCCAGTCCTTTGACTCGCGCACGAAAAACCGACAATCGAGGGAGCGCCGGGAAGCGCGAGTGGCAGCGCCAATGGCATGGGAAGTGTTTCCACTCTCGCGCTGCTCACTTCCGTACTCACTTCCCTGCCCACTCGGGCTGAGTGTAAATTGGGCATAAACAAAGGATAACATGTCTAAATGAGTTGTAGTACCTACCCCGCTTATAAGTGGCAATCCTCGGAACGGGTACAAATACCTGCCCCACTAACATAATGCGTTCGAATACATCAGGCAGGAGTTGGCCTTCAGCCGCTCCATAAGTCCTTCCTTGGTTTGGAGTGCCATCTGCACTCGCACCTAACGTCCGGTGAAGCTGTAAAGGCCAGCTGCGGACAACAGCATTAGAGTAGTCCGAAAAAAAAAACAATGTTAATATCACTATTTGATTATTAATTTAGTTAAGTCTTTTAACATGAATAATTTTATAGTAATGATTTTTTTTTAATTCAAATAAACTTAATCCAAGCACTTTTGAATAGTCATAGTTATCATTTCAAAATATGTTTATACATGTAGGTCTATTACAGACTCTTATGATATGTCAAATCTACCGTCAGTTCGGAGTGATTTCGAAATGAGAAGAACTGACAAGAAACTCAGCTCGTATTCTTTTCAAATAAATGTTATACATATTTACAATAATAATTTTTAAATTCAAGCTTGGTAGAATAGAGTGACCACAGCATATGCTATTGCAAAATCAAATAGTCTAATCTGTGCTACTTGTGGGAACTGGTCTGTTCGGATTACAGACCAGTTCCCACAAGCAGCACCCATTCACGAATATGACGGATAAGCCAGCCATCATTGCACTCAACCATATATATATTTATATATATAATACAAAACTTCATTTAATCCGCTCATTCAAAAAGCTGTCTCATCACAAGAAGAACGAGAAAGAAACTTGTGTGTCGCTCTTTTAAATAATTGTTGTAACTTTACATTTTTAAGTTGAAACCTCTGAAAACAAACTGCAAAAACAACGAGCACTAATTTATTAGGGTCAAACATCAAATACATATTAAAATTAAATCAGTTGTAGTGATTAATGCTGACCAGTCCCTACAAGCAGCACTCGTTCACCAGTATGACGTATGGGCCAGCCATCACTGCGCTCGACCATATTTTAGGAAGTTCAATGACCCGAATATTTATTTTTTATTTACCCTAAAATTGTAAAATTGATATGGACTAAACGCGAAAGTTTAAAAATAAAAATCACTATTTCACTTTCACAGTCGGTAAAGCTGAGGAACAGTTCGCTTTATCTAATGCTTCTGTTATCTGCTTGAGTCTTGCTTTAGCCAGCGCTAAATTGGCATTAGTTGCTCGCATACTCTCCTGGAAAGAAAAGAAAACATGTGTTACTTTTTGCCCAATACTCGTGTGTTACTTTTTGACCAATACTCATGTGTTACTTTTTGACCAATACTCATGTGTTACTTTTTGACCAATACTCATGTGTTACTTTTTGACCAATACTCATGTGTGACTCTTAGCCCAATACTCATGTGTAACTTTTTGACCAATACTCATGTGTTACTTTTTGACCAATACTCATGTCTGACTCTTAGCCCAATACTCATGTGTAACTTTTTGACCAATACTCATGTGTTACTTTTTGACCAATACTCATGTCTGACTCTTAGCCCAATACTCATGTGTTACTTTTTGACCAATACTCATGTGTTACTTTTTGACCAATACTCATGTGATACTTTTTGACCAATACTCATGTGTTACTTTTTGACCAATACTCATGTGTTACTTTTTGACCAATACTCATGTGTTACTTTTTGACCAATACTCATGTGTTACTTTTTGACCAATACTCATGTGTGACTCTTAGCCCAATACTCATGTGTTAGAATTTAAAAGTGAATGTGACTAACCTGTACATTTAGCAAAGTTTTATCAACACTGGTTAATTTCTCAACGGAAATATCTGTAGTATGCCTTACAAGACCTTCAATGTTCGCTCGCAGGGACACGTTACATTCCCCTGGAAAAAAATATAAATCGGACAAATAAAAAAAAGTTGTTTATGTTATGCTCTTTAAACTATCTGGCTCTATAAATGTTTTATTATATAAATTAAAATCGCTATTTAAAAATAGGAGTTGGTTTGACACATTATAAAAAAAAGTTTTGTAAAACAAAATTTTGTACAAACTATAAAACAAAAATTTTAGGGGTGGACAACCCTTATCACTAAATGGTATGATAAATAGATACTAGCCGATTTTCAGAACTACTGAATATGTATATAAAATTTCATAAAAATCGGTCAAGCCGTTTCGGAGGAGTATGGTAACTATAATTGTGACACGAGAATTTTAGATGTAAGAAATTTCTTTGGCTGGTTGGATCAAGTTTAAAATCTAATGTAACTTCTATCTCACTCTGTCAAATGTGTATGAGCCACCCATCACTGCGCTCGACCATATTTTAGGAAGTTCAATGACCCGAATATTTATTTTTATTTGCCATAAAATTGTATATTGATATGAACTAAACTCGAAAGTTTAAAAATAAAAATCACTATTTCACTTTCATATTTCGATAAATTCATGAGGTATTTGCTTTACTATCATCCGTCATCCGTCATACTCGTGAACGGGTGCTGCTTGTAGGGCCTGGTCTGCTCTAATAACTATGACTGATTCCCTCTTATTATTGTATATTCGATATTTTTTCTATTTGAGTTAAATACTCAAATTGAATTAGTGCTAATTGGTAGTCTGTATTCACACACTTAAACTCGCAAGTTTCCTGCTCGTTCTTCTTGTGATGAGACAGCTTTCCGATTGAGCGGTAGATTAAAAAAAAAGTTACAATAGATTGATACATACATAATTTCTGATGCAGCAATGAAGTGTACACTAGCTTGTTGGGGCTGGTTGGTGGAGATGCCGCCATGTTTAATGGGAGATCCAGCTCAATTGGATCTCTTGGGGACATTTTGGAATCTGGAATAAAATCAATCAAATTACTTCGGCTCGAAGGACCAAAATTCTTGTTGAATAAAAATTAATCCATTAAATAAAATAATTAAAATTATCAAGAGGTTAGGTTTGTATGTTTGTTTGTTCGCGGTATATCCGATTCTTCTGATCTAATTTCAAAAATTCTTTCACTGTTAGAAGGTTATACTAGCGGTAGAACAAAAAAAAATTAACTACTCAAAAGTGCTTATATCAAGTTTATTTGAATAAAGATTATTTCTATTTCTAAATAAATAAATAAATCAGAAATACCATCATCAGACTCCGGCGCTTCTCCAGTTATGACAAAATTATCCACATTTTGTGATGGCATAGCCTGTAATATAAGTAATATTTAATTATAATAATTTAAAAGACTATGAGAGAGTTCACTTGTCTCTAAAATTGAAGAGGAAAAGATACTACACATCCTATGAAAAAATCAATAGGTCTTTTATGGGCATCATCATCGCAGCCCGGATGACATCCACTGCTGGACATAGGCCTCCCCCAAAGATCTCCACGACGATCGGTCCTGCGCTGCTCGCATCCAATGCCTTCCAGCGATCTTGACCAGATCGTCGGCCCACGTTGCTGGAGGCCTTCCCACGCTGCGTATAGGTATGCTTTATGGGAATAGGTATAAAAATTTACAATAAGATACCAAAGGATATACTGGAGTTACCCCTAAATAAATTCAAAACATCTGTTAAACCATATTAACATTATTTACTGAGCAAAGCCTATTACTCACTAAACGACTACTTAAATGACGAGCGTGCATGGCGATGGTTGTCCATGCACGGAATTTTCATTTAATGTTACACATAGACACCTATATGAATGTACATTGTAAATAAACGTGCTTTTAAAAAAAATAAGTCATTCAATAATAATAAAATTATAATATAAACAATTTGATGTTCATAAGCAGCTACCATGTCCTACATGAATAAATGATTTTTGAATTTGTATTTATGTGGTACTAGCTCAATCATGCATAAACGAAATACAGGCAGTCCTCGGCTTACGTCAGTTCAAGTTACGTCAAAACAATGTTTTGACACTATCCTCAAACTTACGTCAATTGTTACAATTTCCGACACAGGAGATATCACTTGTTGCCAGGTCAACGTCCATGGGGCCGGCGTTTACCCCGCACATGCTTGTTTAGTTACTTCGTACTGTTAGTTTGTATCCTAACCCTTGAGTTCTGGGGGGAACTAATGTGGACTCATGCCCGCATTACTAACCATGTACTATGTCAGGTGGAAGTCCATGCAGTTCCCCCTGGTAACCATCCTGATAAATTCCTGGTGAATTTGTCACGATGGGCTAACTAACCTGACTTCATATTCATCTTATCATCTTTCACTGGTGGTCCGCCAGTGTAAACCGTTAGCGCAGGCGGTAGCACCATTCCATTATCATTAATAAAAAAAAACCCTTGAGTTCTACATGTATTATAAACATATGAAAAAATATGTCTCGACTTACGTCATATCGATTTAAGTCATGTATTTCAAGAACCTAACATGGCGTAAGTGGGGGGGGGGGGGGGGGGAGAGGGGATTGTTAGTAATATGTACTCATGACCCTATTACTAGCAATGTACCATGTCAGGTTGACCTCCACGCGGTTCCCCTGGAAACGTGATATATTCCTGGTGAATTTGTCACAATGGGCTAACTGACCTGACCTCATACTCACCTTATCATCCTTCACTGCCCACCAGCGTAAACTGTTAATAAAATAAAATTAAAATATGGCGTAAGTATGATTGTATTTCCTTTGGAAAGTTTACACTCCATCCTGTCGAGCACAGTCCTTTCAGTGTACTCTATTTCAGGCTTCCCTTCTCTAGTTGGGGCTGACTGTTAACCTTATTACAACTCCCATCTATTGTAAATCAACCTTGATTTCTTTTTGTTTGGTTACCATTTCTTTTATTTATGTGGGACTAGCTGTACCCGCAACTTCATTTAACTTTATTTTTCTAAAATAAAATTACTATGTTACTCCTTAGTACATCAGTTACCTGCCAAAAAAAGTCCAGAGAGACAGACAAAAACTGTAAAAAATGTTATTTTGGTGTTACAGGCACTATAATTTTATTTATATGTATATATAAAATGGGCTAATTGACATAACTACATACATACTCTACCTATTTGGCTACCTACACTCGTGTAGTATGCCACCAGCATATACTATCACTGCACTATTCCTTATTCAAATAATTTAAAAAGTAGTATTAATTATTAATAACTATCTTCTAAATATATATATAACTCAAAGGTGACTGACGTAGTGATGTATCAACGCACAGCCCAAACCACGGGACGGATCGGGCTGAAATTTGGCATGCAGGTAGATATTATGACGTAGGCATCCGTTAAGAAAGGATTTTGATTAATTCTACCCCCAAGGGGATAAAATAGGGGATGAAAGTTTGTATGAAACTTTGTCAATTTCAAACCGATCGGGCTGAGACTTAAGGCATGCATAAAGTTACTATAACGTAGGCATCCCCTTAGAAAGGATTTTGATAAATTCCACCCCTAAGGGGATAAATTAACGCGAGCGAAGCCGCGGGCAAAAACCAGTAAATATATAAACTTGTACTCACCCGAGGTTTACCAATTTCGATTTCAATTTCAGAATCAGAGGACTCTGAAGCTTCGCCGTCGACTATGTGAGCAGATTTCGACATTTTATTTAATTACGTTTTGATAAATAGTAAGGAAATATAGTAAAACTTTATCAACAACTAAAAACATAACATAGAAAAATCAAAACAATTATACAGGCTCTGTCGTAAAAAATAATTAGAAAGTACTCTGTGATATGACATTTGCTTCGACAAACTGGCAAAATTTGTCAGGTTGTTTTTTTTTTAAATAATAAAAGCTGATGGAAACTACCAGCACATATACACATACAGCCATAATTCGCTTGTCATATACAAAAATTGATAATTTACTTGCGTATTACTTATTTACGTGTTTCCGTTAGTGTCCTTTTGTATTATACAACACAAAAATACATTTTAGTAGTTTCCGAAGATATAGTATTTTTTCAGTATTAAGCTAAAAACCAAAGTTTTATTTTTCATTCAAATGTTTTATGAAATATAAACAAATACGAACGTCATTCTGTTTTTAAAAAGGCAGTCTTCATTGTAATGAAAAATATGTCAATAGGAAAAAAAATTGATACAACAACCCTATATTTATTAATGCCAATACAATATTAATTTTGTATTCCTGCATTTTAAATAAACAACCACACGTCATTTCTGAATAAGTTAACATTAATTTCCGATAGTGCAACAATCCTATTTAAAAATTGTAAAAAGTTGCCAAAATAGTAATGGAAAAAGCGCGGGAAACGTTCGAATTTATTTAACACAGGAAGTGTTTTTTTTTGGATTTCTTTTAATATAATTTTACTGTATATATATATATAGTGATAACAGTAGCAGTTGTTGTAAATATTGGTAACTAAACTGTTATTTTTTTTTTTTATAAATGATAATGGAGTGGTAGACCCGCCTGCGCTAACGGTTTACGGTTACGCTGGCGAGGCACCAGTGGAGGATGATAAGATGAGTATGAGGTCAGGTCAGTTAGCCCATCGTGACAAATTCACCAAGAATTTATCATGATGGTTTCCAGGTGGAACTGCGTGGAGGTCAACCTGACATGGTACATTGCTAGCAATAAGATCATCAATCCACATTACTAACAATTTATTTACTAAGTAAATAAATTGGATTCGCACTAGAAGGGTTCCGTACCAGCAAACAAAAATAAAACATTTTACGTACGTTATAGGCAGGCGAATATGATTATATCATCGAGGTAACTAAATATTCATATATTAATATATTTTTTTTAAGATTTTATCTCAAATGTTCAGTTTTCAGATTTATTCCTGTACTTATGATCTATTACGATGTTACTTCCCCAAATCTCATAGTTCTAGGTCACAAAGGGGCGACTGCGGCGCCCAGAAGTCCAGAGAGGCAGACGAAAATTGTAAAAAATGTTATTTTGGTGTTACAAACATACCCCTTGATGCAATTTCACGTACCCCTGGGGGTACGCGTACCACTAATTGACCTCCACATCGAAATTTAAGAAGGTAATATCTAGCTGATCGTTTTCATGTTCGCTGCTTACAGTTGTCTGATCTTCCACTTATCACAAAATTTCCTCGAATACATCAGAATATTTACTCATCTTCCTATTGGATACAAAGAACCACTATTATGAAGGATGGAGACCAAGACGACACGCGGACAGCAAAAGAAAACGGCGCCGGTATAGTCGTAAAATATTTGTATTTTTTTTCTTTTGTAATGGCTTGGCACTATGGTGTATTTGCCAACATCAAAGTTTGTATATTAATGACTTATGTCATATAAAAACAATATAATAATATTATAAAAAACATAGATAATAAAAAAGGTATACAAATAGTTCGCAACAACTAGGTATGTTTAATAAATTGAGGTGAGATTGCGGTCAAACGCGCTCAAATTATGATATAAAAAAAAATAAATAAATAAAAAGCATGAAAAACATAAAGGGATATTTGCACCAATGTTCGCTTACTCTTGTTTTCCAGTTTAGAAATGCTAACATGAATCTCTAACTTTATTTCCTAATACTAATAATGACATTACGGAATTAATAATAACGACGAATTTAAAAAAATATAGAGTACAGACAACTAAATTCAAATTTGTAATAGATACGCAATGAAATGGATGGCATTCACAGACGCCTCAAAATCAAATAATTGTGGTTGTGTAGGTGTTGGTGTATTTAGATAGATAGATATTTTTTTTTTTTATTGGGTTGTTTGGGCTATTGTCAGATGTGTAGCACCTGTAGCACTGCGACCTACAAAGATCTATTGTGCTCGCCCTTTTCAGAGTTCGCTACCTAGACCCGTCAGGGACAAGAATTGAAGGATATTCTTAGGAGCGATCGTTTTTATCTCCTCGGGAAAGAGTGTAAACTTTCCAAAGGAGATATTTCGTTTATGCATGAGTGGGCTACAACCACATAGGATGTGAAGCGGCGTTTCCTCTTCAGTTTGGCAGAATCTGCAGATACTAGTCGTGCATAGGCCTAGCTTAGCCATATGCTTGTTCAATTTGCAGTGTCCTGTGAGGGCCCTAGTCATCATGCATATGTTGTTTTTACTCAATAGCAGTAATCGATTGGAGTATTTGGTCGAGAAGCCCGATATAAGGTCTTTTGAATGTATTAATCCTGGCATTTCTTGCCAGTGATTCAGTGCTTCTCGTTTGGTTATTAATTTGAGATGTCCCAGTTTTAGGCAACGAGGCACACCACAGAAGGGTTCGGGGCCCAGTTGGACGGTTTTTGCCCCTAACTTTGCCAGATGGTCGGCATTCTCATTGCCTTCAATATTTGAATGCCCGGGGACCCATCTCAGAATAATATTATTTCTGCTTCCTACTTCATTTAGTAGCAGGATACAGTTTCTAATAAGTTTAGAACGGATTTCGTACGAGTTAAGTGCTAGTAGAGCAGCTTGACTGTCCGAATAAATGTATATGTTCTGATTGATGTAGTTGAGGCTTAGGATTACTTCCAGACATCTAATTAAGGCGTAAGTCTCTGCCTGAAAGATTGAGGCGTATTTTCCTAAGCCTATATAGTTGCAGATTTTGGGTTTTACACCACATATTCCACATCCTACATCATCTCCTATTTTGGACCCGTCTGTAAACCAGACTAGGTCATGCTCTGAGTGAGACGGTGTATGGTTATTTTGCCATTCGTCTCTTCCAGATATTTCGATTTTGTAATATTGTACAAAGTTACACTCTGGTAGTATAGATAGATATATCGTTTATTTATTTGTTATTAATCACACACAATATGTTCATAAGAATAGACAGTACGTAATACGACATAAGATTTACAAGTTTGTGTTATTATGTGTGATCTGTAGCAATACAAAAAGGTCGAAGCTCAGCGTGGAACATTGTTCAGGGAACATAACACTGATTTTCAGCTTCAACCCATTTCAGAGTATGTGAAAATAATAATTAAAATAAATATAAAAAAAAGAGCAATATTATTGGTGACTGTTGTTAAGGTTGAATAGCGCTAGTATAAAGTCTATGACTAGAGTGGTTACTAGGGCTACCCTCCTTGTTTATTGTCACTCTGAAAAAAACTGAAAAAGTGTGTGTCATGTATGTGTTCTGTAAATTGTAAATAATAGTGTTAAAGTGTTATGTTGTGGACATGTAATGCGTAGGAACGAGGATAATATTTTAAGAAAGGTGTTACAAAAAATTATTCAAATAAACTTAATATAAGCACTTTTGAATAGTCACATTATTTTTATTCAACTACTCATTTGGAATGCAGATTCATTACAATTGCCACATCACATTATAACATTTTCTTTATTAAGGGCCCGTAGCACCTATATGATTCTAAGGAGCTCGTCCTTTTTCTAGCGTTAGCTGCCTAAGCCCGTCGGGTACAAGAAGGATTTTGTTAGGAGTAATGGCTTACCATAGATAATTATATCTATATAGATAATTAAAAACAACTGTTACATTTTTGGATGTATTTGTGTTCTTGGGGTATGCGATTAACTTAATATTGACTTGATTAACACAAAATTGTTTTTGTGCACACTCTCGTAGTATGAAATGAAATTTAAAAAAAAATTAAATTAATTAGACTTTAGTCATTTCTGACATACAATAGACAACACGTGCCATTTATCAATTGTATATACATACATAAAAAAAATACAAATTTATATTTACATGTTCTTAATAAATTTATTCCCAAAATATTAGTCAATAGGGACAGTCAAATTTGATTGCATGAAATTATTAAATCGAATTATATTATTAAATATTTATGGAATCATAGGAGACTTGTAATACTAAATTTTGCTCTATTGATATTGCAACTAGTATCTAATTTTTACAATGAAATGTTATCTCCTTAGAATATCAGTATATGATTTGACAAGTATAGAAAGAGATTGAGAAGAAAACACAGTTGACAGGAAGATACTATCAGATGTAACGTGGACGTCTTGACACAGCAAAATAATATTTTCAATTTTTAATACTAAATATTGTTATCGTATACATTACTACTTGTATTGGTTACTTTAAAACAATCTTATTGCAATTTAGTATTTATTTTTGCTAATTTGTTTAAAGTATTTACCTGACTATTGTATTGGTAATACATTACTAATGTTGTTAAATAAAAATTGTGGTTAACATTGTTGGTGGCACAATAAGGTATATATTTATAGATGTAAGTATTTTTCATTGTACACACTATTTGTTGACTCAAATAACTACACATAAATACAGAAATGACTTACTGTCTAAATATTATTTGAAAGGAAAATTTGTATTGGGTGGAACAACAGTAATATTATAGTTTGAATTGGCCGCCATTTTTGCAGATGGCGCCAAATGTCAGTGTTCGTTGACACTTGGGATGTAAATTTTTCCATATGATTCTGCACGCGTTCAATACGCGAACTTTACGTAGGAACGGGACGAAATTGATCAGGGAAATTAGAATAGGAGTGGACTGCTAATTACATAAAATGTTTGTAGGGAAAAATATTATTATTAACAGGCAGGGTAAATAAATAGGAACGATTAGGAATTTAGGAAAGGATTTGATGACACATTCGAATAATTAAATGTTTTATATAGGTGTATGTTTTCTGAAACATGACCAAATAAAAATTAAGTACCTAATTTTGTTTATTTTTAAACAGTCT